CGGGGTGTTTGTGCACCTGCAGGATTGCGGGGCAGGTTGGGTGCAGCGGAGCAGGGATCCCACAGGGCCCTGCCTGAGCCAGGCTGCTCACTGCAGCCCATTAAACTTAATCCACAGGAGTCTAGCATAAACAAGGGAGCCCCAAACAGATGGGCTGGGAAATCCCCTGTGGGGCAGGGAGACCCAGAGCTCAGCTGCGCTCTGCAGTCTGCAGCACGATTCAGCGCTGTGTCTCAGCAGGAATCTCCTGCAGGGAAAAGGGGAGCAGGAGATGGGGGGCTTCCACCCCCCCGACATCCAGAGTGAGCGCTGCTCCCAGGAGAAATCCCAGGCCCAGGGGCCCTGACCCCAGCGGGGACCCTGCTGGCCTGGGTCAGTGGCAGACTTCCAGGGTGTAGGGAGTCATGGCCCATAGCCATGCGCCAGCCTGTGCGGCTGGGATCTCTCCCCAGGCTCCCAAGGCACGTTAAAGGCTCAGCCTCCATCATTTGAGTCCACAAATATTAGTTTCCGCAGGGTTTAATGAAGCCGTTATGCAGGGCATGGCCCTGCGCCCCAGCCCGTGGCCTTAACAACTGCTCTGTGCCCTCGATTAAAGGGACCTTTCAGTCGCTTTCAAGTATTTTTAGAAAAGGGGGGGGGAACCCCAGCCCAGCCGGGAGAGGAAAATCCCGAGCTGGCCTGGTACAAAACTAAGGAAATAGCACCACCTAGACTGCAGCTCCCTCCCTGGCTCAGCCGGCCTGCCGCTGGGCCCTCTGCTCTGTGCCCGCCGGGGCTGGTCCTGCTCGGCAAGGCCTGGGGCCACGGGGCTCCGGCAGCCCCCAGCAGGCCTGGGCCAACCCTGGGGGGTTTCCTGCTCTGCTCACTGCCAGGTGCCCAAGTACTCACTGGGGAGGGTCATGCTATAAATAACGTGATGATCTCAGAGCACCTTCCCTGGGGTCAGCACCCCTTGTACAGAGGGGAAACTGAGGCACAGAAAGAGGCAGAACTTGCCCAAAGTCACCCAGCAAGTCAGTGCTAGGAATAGACCCAGGAGTCCTGGCTCCCACCTCACTGACCCACCAGTGGTTAGGGGAATAGCCCAGGCTCTTTGGGGGACATCCCCCCCCCCGGCAGAGAACTTTGCTCCCTCCTGCCCTGTGGGTGACAGCAGGGTCTGCCTGTCCCCGAAGTGCCATCTATGCCCCCACACTTTGAAGTGGGGGGGGCTCATTTTGTGCAGCGCTTTGCCTGCTTCTGCCCTTCCCACACAGAGCACAGGGATGAATCCAGAGCAGGAGGGGATATCCCTAGCCGCCAGCCCCATGGGTGGGGTATTCCCCCTAGCCCCCAGCCCCATGGGTGGGGTATTCCCCCTAGCCTCCTGCGCCCCCTCCCCCATGTTGGACTGTGGCCTGGTTTGTTTGGTCCAGGTAGTAGAGACAAGCCCCCATGTGTCCAGCACGGGGTTAAGCAATCACCCTCCCCTAGGGTGACCAGATGTCCCGGTTTTATAGGGACAGTCCCAATTTTGAGGTCTTTTTCTTATATAGGCTCCTATTACCCCCCACCCACTCCCTGTCCCGATTTTTCACATTTGCTATCTGGTCACCCTCCCCTCCCCCACTCTCTCCTCTCCCCCCCATGGGGGCTGGGGGCGTGAGAGTGGGCAGGCAAAGCAGAGATCCTGCAGTGCTGTTGGGGGCAGGGAGAGTCCCCGGTGCCCAGCTCGCTGCCCTCCCTCACCCCCACATCCCCCAGAGAGCGCTGGCCTGGAGCCAGTGAGAGCCCAAGGGGTCCATGTCTGCCCTTCCCCTTCGCCAGGCCCAGCGCCTACAGCCGGTCTCCGGAGCCGAGTCGGGTCCAGCTCCTAACGCCCCCCCACAATGGGGCTTTCACCCAATGATGCCCCTTCCCTGAGGTTACCCTCTGCCGCCCCCTGCTGGCCCATGGGAGCGGGACCCAGTGAGGCACAGGGCGGGGTGTGGGGCGGGGGCTCACTTCCTGCGGGGTAGGGGGCTGCTGTTCTTCATTAGGCCTTGGTTATTAACAAGTGTGATGGATTCTCTTTCCCTACCCTGTGCATGCTCCGGACCCGGACGCCCTAGTGCTGGGGCTGAGAGCAGAGCAGGGCCTGCCCCGCAGAGCCTACCCTGGCAGGAGGTGACACACATGGGGGCCTTTCCCATATGCTCTGGGGTTCCCTGCCCTTTGAGCCGTCCCCTGGCATCCCTGCTCTCTTCATTAGTGATTATGAGGTGAGGTTTGTTCCTCTGCCCCCTGCCCAGCTCTGGAGCAGCCTTGCTATTATGGGTATTAACAGTAGGGCTTATGGGGGCCCCATTGTGCTGGGCGCTGCCCAGACCCCGACCGAGATCAGGGCCCCGTCGCGCCGGGCACTGCCCAGACCCCGACTGAGATCAGGGCCCCGTCACACCGGGCACTGCCCAGACCCCGACTGAGATCAGGGCCCTGTTGTGCCAGGCGCTGCACAGACCCTGCCAGATCAGGGCCCTTGGACCCCCACATGGTCTCCTCAGTCCCAGCCCAGTGCCTAGCTGCAAGCCCCCTCCCTCCCAGCTCTGATGGTGTGGGGCGCTCCATGAGATACTGATGGGCTGTGGGGGCGTTGAGGGGCCCAGCAAGGCAGGGGGCTGTACTCACTTGCTGGTTGCTTGTTAGTGATCCAGACGGTTTGGGGAGCCCGTGGGTGGGGGTGAGCTGCAGCACTCACCCGAACTCAAGGCTGATGCTTCGTGGCATTGGATGCCCATAGGTCAGGCAGAGGCCTCCAGGGCTCCCCCTCTCTGCAGCAACCCCAGTGGTAGTTGTGGGATGGAAACAGATCTGTGACCAAGTGACACAGAGTCATGAGTGGAGGGGGACATAATGTGGGTGTCATGGTGCTGCAGGGTGCGGGGGGGACGTACGTGGGTGTCATGGCACTGTGAGGGGGGCGTTAGTTGGCTTTGTGGTGCCCGTGGGTGGTGGGGCATATGTAGACATTGTGGTGCGTGAGCAGGGTTGGGGGGTGTCAGTGGGCGTCGTGGCGCCGTGAGCGGGGTTGGGGGGCGTACGTGGGGGTCGTGGCGCCGCGAGCAGGGTTGGGGGGTGTTGGTGGGTGTTGTGGCTCCGCGAGCGGGGTTGAGGGGCGTACCTGGGTGTCGTGGTGCTGTGAGCGGGGTTGAGGGGCGTACCCGGGTGTCGTGGCACCGCGAGCGGGGTTGGGGGGTGTCGGTGGCCGTCGTGGTGCCATGAGCGGGGTTGAGGGGCATAGCCGGGTGTCCTGGGAGTGGGTTACCCACCAGCTGGAGAAGGCGTCTCTGGGCTGGAGGGGAGAGATCATGGCCAATGCTGCAGAAGGCCTGTCCAGAGTGGCCAGGCCGGACCAGCCGAGGGACCGATCTAGACCAGTGTCCTGTCCCTGCCCAGTGCCCAGTTCCCAGCCCAGCCCCGCACTCCCCGCATTGCCCTGCCTCGAAGCCCCGGAGAGGCGGGTGGAGTGGGATGAGGCCCCTGCCATGCCCCTTCATGGCCTGGAAAATGCCTCCCAAGCAGCCTTGAGCCCTCCCCTCTCTGTCTGTGCCAAGCTCCCAGGAGCCCATCCCTGCCAGGGAGATGCAGGGGGCTAACTGGCCAGTTGTGGCTCCGCGAGCGGGGTTGAGGGGCGTACCCGGGTGTCGTGGCGCTGTGAGCGGGGTTGGGGGGTGTCGGTGGGGCTGCTCACCTGGCGCTTTCCCGTGTGGCACTATGGGGGGGGGGGAGCAGCATTAGCCCCTTGGCTGGCAGGGCTTATGGAGGCCATGACCTGTTGGTTAATAAGCGGCTGCTGATTCTCGTTCGCAGCTGGCGGCCCTGGTCCTGCTTCCCCGAGGGGACGGGCGCCAGGGAGGGGGAAGGAGCGGCCTTGGGAGCCGGCGGTGCCAGCACCTCTGGAAATCCGGCCCCAGGCCTCTCACGCTGGGCATCCCAACTCAGCGGGTGCTTCTGCCTGCGCCCGTGGGCTTGAGGTCCCGAGAATGAACTCCATTGGCTGCTTCCCTGCATCATGGTGCCCCCAGGGCCAGCATGGCACCCCTCTTGGCATGGCAGGCCACTCCTCTGCCCCTCTGGGACCTGCCTCTCGCCTGGCCTAGCCAGAGCACCCCGGGAAGGGCTGTGGCCCTGGGCGAGGGCTGCCCGAAGCAGTTGGCCCACCTGGGGAGATGAGGCTGGCTGTGGGGAGAGGGGCCCGGCGCCCTCCCCAGTGCAGAGCCGAGGGGGCTGGAGGGGGCTTGGCCGGCCCCTGGCCTGGGTAGTGAAATCAGGGTGTTGTGTTTACTTTCCCCTATTGGCAGCTGGAAGGGGAAGCCCATCCCAGCCCCGCATTGTTGTCTCAGTGAGTTAATCAGATCCCATAATCCTGTTGTGGAAATATTGGGCCTCCCTCCAAACAATAGAGACCGAGAATATTGTGGTTAAATTTCAACCAGCTGCCTCTCTGCTCTGTTTGATCCCCCCCCCGCGCGCTGGGGCACCTGGTATCAGCCCTGAATCAGGGGGCGCAGGACTGGAAGTGGCATCTTCGCCTGCTCTGCCCAGGGACCCCGAGCGACTGAGCAAAGCGAGCCCAGGAGTGGGGGGCACCTGCTCGGGCTGCAGGGCTCCTGGGCGGGGGGCACCCGCTGTGACGGGCTCAGGGCCCCTCCACGTGGGTTTTGTTGACACCTGTCGAAGTAGCCCGGGTGGGCTGGGAGCCGGCGCCCCCGGGGCAGGGCTGGTTCCCGGGGTGGAGGGAGCCCTCTGGCCTCGCTCTCGTTGGCGGGGTGGGGGCAGCTGCCTACCGGGGCTCGCCCTCCGGGACAGGTGGAACGGGGCGCCTCCCCGGCCGGTGGGGTGGGCTCCGGCCAGCGGCGCTCCTGGCAGGGGGAGGAGGCTGCCGGCGGCCCATTGCAGGTTCCTCGGGGAGGCGGAGGGAGGGAGCTGGGAGGCTGGGACATGGGCAGGGTGCGGTCCTGGCGGTTCCCGATCCCGGATCTCTTCAATTTCCCCTCTCACTCGTGCCCTGGGAGTGGAGGCAGCAGCGGCTCCGGCTCCAGCTCCAGCCCCTGCAGCCACCGCCGCCCTGACCACCAGAGCGCAAACCGCGGGGACTCCGGGCAGCCGGGCCCCGGCCCCGCAGCAGCCGCCCCGCTGCCAAAACAAACGGCCCTTCGCTATTTATTGGAGGCGGCCGGGCAGGAGAGCTCAGAGCAGGCTGCCAGCCGCAGGCGCCGGCCAGCAGCAGCGGGGCGCACGGCAGCACCTGCCCGGCACACGGCCACCTTTACGCACTGGATGGCGACCCCCCTGGGGCACGGCGAACGCCCCGGTCGAGCCTGAGGGGCTCCCGGGCTGAGGACCCCCCTGTCGCCCGCCTCCCCGCCCCGGCGGAGCAGCCCAGCGTCCCCGCTGCCCCCGGACTTCCCTGCCATGAAGCTGGCCCGGCTCCTGCTGCTGCTGAGCGGGTGCGCGCTGCTGCTGGCCCCGGCGGTGCGGGGGTGCGGGCCGGGCCGGGTGGTGGGCAGCCGCCGCCGGCCCCCCAGGAAGCTCATCCCGCTGGCTTACAAGCAGTTCAGCCCCAACGTGCCCGAGAAAACCCTGGGCGCCAGCGGCAGGTACGAGGGCAAGATCGCCCGGAACTCGGAGCGCTTTAAGGAGCTGACCCCCAATTACAACCCCGACATCATCTTCAAGGACGAAGAGAACACAGGAGCCGACCGCCTCATGACCCAGGTACGGGCCCAGCCCCTCCCGGGCTCCTGGGCCCTCTGCGCCCCGCAGTCCTTCCTCTCCGGGGGAGCCCTGCTCTCCCCTCCCCTGGGTCCTGCCCTGATCCCTGCTCCAGCCATGCCGGGCTCCGGGGGACATTCCACCCCGCCCGGCGGGGCGCGGGGCTGTCCGGGGCCCGGGCTCAGGTGCTGGGAGGGAGGGAGGGAGGCCGGGAAGTGCCCCGCGGTCCGAGGTGGAGCAATGGCCCGAGCAGATGCTTCCTCCCCGGAGAGCTGCCCTCCCGCGGGGCCCCTCTCCAGCCGGGTCCCCGGTGCGCGGCGGGGGTCTCCTCTGTTCTCCCGGGCCCGGCTGCCCTCCTTCCACCGAACCCGGGACTTTCCCGTGCAGTGACCGGCGGCGCGGGGCAGCAGCGCTGCGCGGGGCCCCAGGGTCTGGACGCGGAGAGGAGCTGCGGGGATCAGGGCGCGCGGCGCGGCTCTCCCAGTCACCTGCCGGGCAGCGTGCGCTCCGGGTCTCCGGCTGCGGGCCCCGCGCCCGTCAGCACCAGTCCGAGGCGCAGGAGGTGGCGAGTTCACAGCCGCCCCCAGCAGCCACAAGATGCTCTGAGTCACAGGGGCTTCCTGGGCGCAAGCTGCTGCCCCAGCCCGCTAGGAGGGAGTCAGGGGCGGATGCTGTGGAGGACCAGAGCGCTGGAGGGAGCGGGAGGGGGTGGGCAGTGGCCCCCCGCCTGCCCGGGGAGGCCCCCAGCTGGGCAGTCCCTTGGCACTGGCTGGGGGTAGGGTTCCGTGTCTGAAATCCCCAGAGTCCCGGGGGCCCAGTGCTGGGGGGGGGGGGCGGCGGGGGGGGCCGGGGACCCAGGGCGGGGGGGGGGGGCAGGGCGGCGGGGGGGTTGTGGTGCTGTCCCAAAGCAGCTTAGAGCCGAGCTGTAGAGGGACCGGGAAAGGGGGGCGGCTGGCGTGACCCTTGTCAGCGACCCCAGCACAGACTGACCCTTGATTGCTCAATGGCCGGGTCCTCTGTGCCCTCGGCGGGGCTCTGCTGGTGCTGCCCGCTGGGGACCGGGAGGAGGAGGTGCTGCATGGGCTCTGCAGGGCTGCAGGAGCCCTTGTGGGCCCACGGGGAGCAGAGCGGGAGCAGGTCACTGGCAGCTTCCCACGAAGGCTCCGGGCACAGCTGGGTGCTTGGCTCGGCCGGGCAGGCCCCTTCGCTCGGGGCCTGAGCATGGGGTGAGGAGGGAGGGCTCAGGTGTGACTGCCGTGGGCATGACACTGAGCACCGCACCCCCCACCCGGCCTCTGTCCATGGGCTGAGCGCCTGGGATGGCAGCAGAGGTGGGGGCAGTGGCCTTGCAGGGCTCCGTCGGTGTAACAGAGGGGCATTGCCCAGGGGGGCAAAGCAGAACTCAGCCCTCTCCGTTGGGGAGGGGATTCATGTACCCAGAGCCCTGGGCAGAGCGGCCTAGCAGGCACTGCCTTCACTCAGAGCAGGCAGCTTGCTGCGCAGCATTGTCCAAGCCCCTTCACCCGCTCCGTGCCTCAGTTTCCCCTGCCTCTGGGAGCTGGGGGGGCGGTTGGTTGATGTCTGGGGTGGAGTGTTTGGAAGTTACTGACCCTAGCTGGGCGAGGCCGTGTCTAACGTAGGGGACAATGGCCTGTCGTAAATTCCACCTGGAAGCCAGCAGAGGCGGCCTGGGACGGGGAGGGTGGCTCCGGGACGAAGGTTACCCTGCGTTTCGGTGTGGGCAAGGAGAATGCCTGCGGCTTTCAGGAATGCAGATAAGGAGCCTGGTCCCAGCACGCTGCGCTGATTTACAGCCCAGGTGAATGTCCCAGCAGAGCCTCTGGGTCCCAGGGCTGGAGGCCGGCGCTGGCCGGCTGGGCCCGTGGGTTCCTGGCTGGCGGGGGGATGACTAGCGTGCCCTAGTGGACTCTGGCCTTGGTGTGTGTGAGGACACGAGATCTCCAGGAAGTGAATGTAGGGCAGTCTGACATCACTGGAGACTGGATCCCTGGATAGGTGCCGCCCGGGACAGCCCCCTGCACGCCATGCTGCTCCTGCCTGACCTGCTTGGACCTCTCTGCTGAGTGCCAGCTGGGGTGTGGGCGGGGAGCCCAAAGCACTTCACAGCTAGTAATGACTGTCACATGGGACTAATGCCAGCTGCTGGATCAGAGCCGGCACCCCCTGGAGGGGAAAGGCCCCGTGCCCCATTTCCCACCCCCCTGAGCCAGCCAGTCCCCAGCCTGGGGCCAGATCTGAGTCTGGGGCCCCTGGAGGGGAAAAGCCTCGTGTCCTATTCCCTGCCTTCCTGAGCAAGCCAGTCCCCTGCCCTGGGGCCGGATCAGAGCTGGCGCCCCCTAGAGGGGACAGGCCCGGGGGAAAGGCCCAGTGCTCCATTCCCCCCCTTTCCCTCTCCTCTCAAGCCAGCCAGTCCTCTGCCCTGGGGCCGGATCAGAGCCGGCACCCCCTAGAGGGGACAGGCCCCATGTCCCAGCTGTGAGCCCTATTTCTGTGTCTCGCTGCATCAGGCAGTACAGCACGAGTCCCAGGTAATCCCAGTGTCACACTCTCTTCTCGCCGTGTGCGCGCAGTGCCCAGCCCAATGGGGCCCCGACCGGAGCCTCTCAGCACCCCACAGCCCAGACGTTACATCCAAAAGTGCCCTGCTGCCCTGGGGGCTGGGCCCTCGCTGGCCTGGCCCTGCTGGGAGCCCAGTGGCCAAGATATAGGGACACCTGGCTGGGGGAGCAGGGGGCTGCCAGCCAATGGCACCAGGACTCCCAGCACCCTCAAGGCAGCCTTCCCCAGCCTTCCCAGTGCCCCCCGGGGGGGAGGGCGAAGGGAGAGATGCCCCCAGGGCCCCAGGCGGCTTGAGGTGCAGGCTTCACGCTGCCAGGACGGCTGGGGGAGGGGACGGGAGGGGACCCACTCCCATGCAACCCCTCTCCCTCGCCTCACTGGCTTTTACTGCTGTTGACTCACCTCAGAACCTGTTTTCCCCAAGTCCAAGGGTCTGGGCGTCCGGGTGGTGCTGGGAGATGCTGGCCGGGGGGGCCAGGGCTGCTCCCCGCCTCCCCTTATCGGTTCATCTGCCTCAAGAATCTGCGTCTGTTTGCTCTGCGCTGGGCCCGCTGGCAGGCACTGAGAGAAGGCCCCACCTTTCCCCTCCCACGGAGCCAGCCCCTTTCCACCCTTGCTGGGCAGAGGAATGTCTCAGGTGCCCCCCCATGGTGCCCAGCCCCACCGGCCTGCAGACCCAGCGTGCTGCCCCCTCCCGGGTGGCTCCTCACCCCCCCTGCACCGTGGGGCTGGAAGTGCCTGGGCAGGCTGCCCTGCTGAGGAAACGCACTGACACCCCCACCCCAACACGGGCACGCCAGGGCCTTGGTCTCCATCCAGGGTGGGGCTGCTGGCTGCTCTCCCTGTGTGTGTGTGGGGGGGGGGGGGCTCAGCCTGGCCCTGCCATCTCGGGGCTCCCCCTGGGAGTGGGTCCCACCTGGGCTTGCTTGTGAGTGACTCCGTTGGGAGCTGAAGGTGCCAGGCAGGCACAGCATATGCGCCCGGTGCCAAGCGCCCTGCCAGCAGGAGCACCCTAGGGGAGGGGCGCTCCCTCTCCAAGGCCCCGTTCAGCCCTCGACCTCTGCTGGGGCCGCCAAGACCTCCACAGGCGCCCTGCCCACTCAGAACTCAGCTGGGAGCCCCGAGCGTCAGTGCTGGCTCCTCGCCCTGGGGGAGCTGGTCCTTCATAGTGAGTGAGCCTGCTTCCCTGTCATGTGGGCTGGGGTCTCTCCGGGCGTCTCCGAGCCGGGCTCTCCCTCTGGCTCCCCCCTCCGGCTCTCCGAGGTCCGGAACCCGAGACAGGGCGTTGGCTGCCACTCCGGCCTGAGACCAGCTGCTGTGTGAAGGGCACCAGCCCCTCTGAGAGCCCAGGGCACCTGCTTAGGCCAGCAGCCTGTCTCCAGCAGTTGCCCACAGCCGATGGGTCAGGGCACAGCATTACCCTCCCCCACACCCGTAATGTCCCCGGCTGGCTGTGCAGAATGTCCTGCAGCGTGAGACTGGATCCATCCTGTCGCTCGTGTCCTTAGCTTGCAGAGTTACTCGTGCGTTGCACAGCCAGGACGTTGCCCACGCCGGCTCCCTCTTGTGGCAGAGAGTTCCACAGGCCGACTGGGCGGTGTGTAAAGCGTTTCTGACTCCCCTGCCAATGATTTCCTCGGGTGGCTGAGCCCAGGATGGGTTCTTGCTGTGCCCTTCCCAGCCATCACCATCCCAGGCAGTGATGCAAGCACCTGGCAGCCCTGCTCCAGCCAGGGGCAGGGCCTGAGCCTGTCTCTGTGCCCAGCTCTGTGTGCCAGTCTCTGGGATCTCTCTCTCTCTACCCGTCGTGATCTGAGTGCGTGGCTGCCACCTGTCGCCATGGCGATGGCCTGAGCCGGGGGGGCAGCCAACTCTGCTCCCACTGAAGACTCGGCACCGGGCCAGGGCAGATCCCACACTACATGTAGCTGTGTGGACGCTGGCCAGGCTGTGGGGTGCCCACTGGGACAGGGCATCCTGGCATGGAGGGATTTCTGTCTCCCTCGCCCCTTGGGCACCTTTGCCCCCTCCCCATGACCTATGCTGCCCTGGCCATGCGCTGCTTTCTGAGCTCGAGGCAGCAGTGTGGCCACTCCCTGGGCTGGGGCACGAGCCCCTGCCCCGTGCCCTGGGGATTGTCACCGGACCGGGGCCGGCCCCAGGTTCCTTTCGCCTGCAGCAATCGTATGAGGACACTTTGTGCTCAGTGTCCCCGTGCCGGCTCCTGCGATGCAGCCCAGGCCGCCGGGGAACATCCCGTGCCCATGGGGGGGGGGCGGGCGCCTGGCTGCGATCCGTGCCCCGTCCCCGGGCACTCGGCTGTGCCGACTCTCTGGCACTGCAGTGACACCTGCTGGCTACAGCTGGAACTGGCAGAGCAGCACTTCGCTCCAGCCACAGGGACCTTCGCCCTCCCAGCTGCCCCCTGCACGCCCCCTCCCTGGCGTGTACCCACGCAGCAGCCCTGGGCTGGGGTGGGACAGGTTTGCTCCCTGGCCAGCAGCCGGAGCGAAAGCAGCTGGGGTCTGAGCCCCCTTCCCCTGACGCCTGCCCTGTGCAGCCATGTCCCCTTCGCCTGGGGACAGTGCGCCCCACGGATGGGGAAGTGTCATGCAGGGGGTGCGCCTGGGGCTGGGCCGGGGGGGCTGGGGGGATTCCAGGTGATGCTAAACTGTGAGGAGCTGAGAATCCCAGCGAGGACCCAGCAATCGGCAAGCGTCTTTCTGCCCATGCAGCACCTAGCACGGGGGTCGTGGCCCAGGACTCGGCTCCTCGGAGTGAGGGTCCTACACAGTCAGGAGAGATTCAGC